AAGAAATGCTCAACCTCTCTAGCCATAAAAGAAATGCAAATCAAAACAACATTGAGATACCACCTCACCCCAGTTAGAATGGTTATAATCAAGAATTCTAATAACAACAGATACTGGAGGAGATGTGGACAGAAGGGAACCTTACTGCATTGTTGGTGGGAGTGTAAACTTGTGCAACCACTTTGGAAAGTAGTGTGGAGTCAAAAGACTCCACATAGAGCTCCCCTATGACCCAGCAATCCCACTTTTGGGCATTTACTCGAATGATTACAAACAAGACCATAGTAAAGCTACCAGCACAACTACGGTTACTGCAGCATTATTCACCATAGCTAAGATATGGAACCAACCCAGATGCCCCTCAGTAGATGAATGGATCAAGAAAATGTGGTATATATACACAATGGAATTCTATGCCTCCATCAGAAAGAATGACATTGCTCCATTTGTTAGGAAATGGAAAGAATTGGAAAAAATTATGTTAAGTGAAGTAAGCCAGTGGGCTGTCAACTCTGACCCTCTGTGTTGGTGATGGTTGTGAGTCCAGGCTCAAGCTTGTAATAAATGATTCTCGTGTGCTTACATTGGAATCAGCTCCTTGGTGGTCTTTGGGGATCCTTATCTAGGCATAAGAAACCAGTTCAGCAGTGATACTAGACACTATGTTGGAAATGAACTATTCAACTTGGGGGGGGGAGATAGGAGGGAAAAAACTGGGAGAGAATGAGGGAGGGAGTGACACTATTCAAAAGGAAATGTACTCATTACCTGCTTATGTAACTAACCCCTCTGTACATCACCTTTCAATAAAATTTAAAAGTAAAAGGGAAGGAAATGTAAGACAGCCAAAGTGGAAAGGAAGAAGGAAAAAAAAATCACTGCATACAGATGTCATGATCTTATACACAGAAAATTTAGCCTGGTTAAATTTGTTTCTAGGTATTCTATTCTTTTCGAGTTATTATAAATTGTTTTATTTATTTCCCTTTTAGTTTGTTCATTTCTGGTACATGAAAATACATCTGATTTTTGCATGTTAATCTTATAACTGCAACCTGCCTGTATTCATAGCTTCTGATTTCTGTGCGATTTTCCATATATAGGATCATGCCTGGTAGGTTTCACACTACAAAAGTCCTTGATCCAATTAAACACCAAAAACCTGGAAGTGGAGCAGTGGCTCAAGTGTTAACAGTACCAGCCTAGTCTTGAGCAATAAAGTTCAGGAACAGCATTCAAACCCTGATTCACACACCAGGACTGGCACATACACACACATACACTCCTTTATCTCCAATTAACCAAAAGAGCCTGAAGTAAAGCTATGGCTCAAGTGGTAGAGAGCTAGCCTTGAGCAAAATAGCTCAAGGACAGTGTCCAGGCCCTGAGTTTGAGCCCCCAGGACCAGCACACACACACACACACACACACACACTCACACAGACACAACTCACAATTATTTTTTCCAGGAATGCAATGGTGACTTAATCTTAGGAAAACTTACTATAATTCACTATATACATAGTTGAAAACAGAAAAATAATGATTCTCCCCAGAATCTGAAAAGGAATACACTATTCAATTCAATATATATTGACTTAAAAATTCTATAATATGAACATATGGTAGGTATCTTTATGAAAATGTTTCCTATAACTAAGATCCAATGCTATCCTTTTTTGGGTGGTGGTACTGGGATTTGGACTCAGGGCCTTGCACTTGATAAGCAAGTGTTGTAAATCTTGAACTATACCCTAAGCCAAATACCATCTTTACTGAGGAAAGTGTAAGAAGCCACTTAAAAATATTTAATTATGATAATTTCATGATGAAATTTAAGAATATCTAATAATTTGATTATGGTTCAGAAAACTCTGTAGTCTACGTTAAAATTTTGATTAGATATTAAATCTGGTAACACAAGAGCAATAATGTCATGTTAGGCAGTAACAATCTTACTTTTATACTTACCATTATAATTTTATTTTAAGATAGCAAAGTGGATAACACTCTCACTCCAAACTGTGTGTTGTTAAGTGACATTAGTAACATACATTGCAGAAATATTTGTTCTTAAAGAATCATTTGGTCATCAAATTTTGTACAAATTTCTGGTAGCATAAATTTCTGGTGAAAAAAGATTTTGTTATTCAGATTCTAAACTTTCAGAACTGTTACCAAACTTCAAGTTCCCACTGTACCTGTTTGTTTTAGGTGATTCCAGATGACTTTACACTTCTGGATCTGATCAAGCACACGGTTCAATAGCACATTCTATTTGGCAAGAATGTAATAAGATTATAGTCTAAACAAAAGATAGCTTTAAGCAAATTAGTATATCACAGAATTTTCACTAAAAGTAGTTTAAAATTATAGTTTAAACATCACATTTGGGAACTGATATAGAAATATTACCTTCCAAGTATAGTTTTTCTTACTATCTCGAGAAAATGGGGATCAAATAGACAATTTCAAGTATATCAATAGGTTTTTTATTTTGACAGTACTAGGATTTGACCCTGGGATTTCACACTTAGTAGGCAGGCACTCAACCACATGAGTCACATCCCCATCCTATTTTGCTTAAGTTATTTTTCAACTTGGGTTCCATGTTTCTTTCCCTCCGTCCTCCCCAACTCCCTCAGACAATATCCTACCTAGAAACTCTGACCTCTCATGTAGCTAAGAATACAGGTGTGAACTATTGCATGTAGTATTATTTACCAATTTCTTTAATAATTTAGATCTAAAGAGAAATATTTCCCAAATGGTTTTATGGTATTTGTTTTTCAAGCAAAATAAAAATAAGTGTTGAAAATTATAAGACACAATTAGGTAGTGCTGGGGGAATATCTCAGCAGCAGAATGACTGCCAAGCAGAGAAAAGCCCTTGGTTCAAGCCAGCAAAATCAAAACAAATACAATATAATTATGTAAAGTCCCCAGAAACTGCCTGAAGGCATATAAATAATGAAAAAACAACATTTATTCCACAGATCTACTAAGTATTTGTGAGAATAGTAAGAACCTGTGACATTTGAACCACGGCTTCTTTACCACCCTCTATAGGTATGAACAAATTTCTAGGCTAGGTATTCCTAGGAGAGCCAGATTTTAGGCACTTCTCATGCTCTCCCCCACTCCCACGGCTCTACTACAGAACCTCTATTATGAACAAACACAACTGAAATGCCTGGAGCTCCATTCATATACCTAGTCCTTCATTTGTAAGACAAAAGCTGCCCTAGACCAGGCAACTTCTGAACACTTGATCTCAATTGTTTTCAACTCCATCTGTGTATAGAATAGAATTTCCACGTTGGGAGAGTCAAGGCAAACATATGAAGGACTACAAGGCTAGCCCAGTTCTCCACTCAAAGAGCTGGATTTTCTCTCTGATAGAATTGGGCCACAGGGCTGGGAAGGTGGCTCAGTGGTAGAGTGCTTGCCTTGCATGCCTGAGGCCTTAGGTTCGATTCCTCAGCATCACATAAGCAAAAAGAAAAAAGCCAGAAGTGGCGCTGTGGCTCAAACGCTAGAGCGCTAGCCTTGAGCTGAAGAGCTGAGGGACAGCGCCCAGGTCCAGAGTTCAGGCCTCAGGACTGGACCCCCCCCCCCAAAAAAAAAAGAATTGGGCCACAATCTCTACACCTAGTTCCAAAACAGGGTTTCATTTTCATAGGTTTGCCTGTAATTTTCTGTGAAGGGAATCATTGTAATCACAATAGACTGAAGAATTTCTCATCTAAGAGCACTGTATTTTGAGCACCTGAGTAATTTGGTAGTGAGCAACTGAGAGAAGGCTGGTGGCTCAACACTACCAAGACAAAACAATAGAACCACTTGAAGTTTACAGAGAGAAACAGACAAAGAGGCAATGATGATGATCCCTATCGCTGGAAAAGGAGCAAATTATGGCCAACAGCTTTCACACACACACACACACACACACACACACACACACACACAAGAGAGAGAAACACATTTTAAATTAGGAAATTAGTCAAGACTAACAGCTGCATGGAACATTACTAGAAGAAAACTATTTAAATGCTTAACTGGGATACCAGATAAGAGATATGTAGTATTAAGGCACCCCACTAAAACTGTTATCTGTTTTTGTAGGAAGATGAGTCAAAGTGATCTCACTGGCAAAGACTGCCCCCTAAGGAGTGACATCAGAGTCTGTATACTGTGGAGAAACAACCCTTACTGGATTCACAAAACAAATAAAAAAGCAAATATTAACAATATGGAGCTCTACAGGAGGTCAGTACAAAAGATACCATATTATCTAAAATATTAAATTTTCAATAAAAATGACAGGATACATAAGTGAAAAGAAAAAAATTGACCCCCCCCACAAGAAAGGAACAGTTAACCAAAAACAGATTTTCAAAAGGCCCAAGTGTTAAATTTAACAGATTCATATTTCAATGCTGCTATCTTGGATATGTGTAAAAAACTAAAGGATACCACACTTAAAAAAGGAAAAACAGTAAAAAAAAAAAAAAGGAGAGAGAGAGAGAAAAAAAAACATCATATACAAAGAAACCTCATTAAGATTACCAGTTGAGCCAGGTGCTAGTGGCTCTTATCTCTAATCCTAGCTATTAGGAGGCTGAGATCTGAGGATCATATAGTTTGAAGACAAGCTGGGAAGCAAAGTCTGTAAAAGTCTTATCTTCAATCAACAATCTAAAAGCCAGAAATGGAGCTATGGTCCAAGTGATCGAACACAAGCCTTGAGCAAAAAATCTCAAGGACAATGCCCAAGCCCTGAGCTCAAACCCCAGGACTGGCATACATACACACATCAACAAACCCTCACCCACTCACTCACTACACAAAAAACATTAATAATACATACAAAAGATTAATAGCTGACTTCTCATTAAGAACAATGTAGGTCATGAGGCAGTTGGATAACATATTCAATTTGCTTAGCCATTGTGAGGCCCTGGATTCTATCCCTCATACTGCATAGTAATGAAAGAAAAGTAATAGTGCACAAAACTATTATTTAGAACTGAAGGTGAAATAAAGACATTCTAAGATAAACAAAAGCTGAGAGAATTTCTTCCTAGGAATTTTTTTTTCTAGGCTGAAAAATGAGATCAGACAGCAATTTAAATTCAGACTATAAGAAAAAGCACAAGTAAAAGTAATTATGTAACTATAAAAGACAATATAGTGAGTACTGGTGGCTCATGCCTGTAATCCTTGCTACTCAGGAGGCAGAGATAGGAGGATTGTAGTTCGAAGCCAGGCTGGACAGGAAGGTCCATGAGATCCTTATCTCCAATAAACTACTCAAAAAAGCCAGAAGTGGCACTGTAGCTTAAGTGGTAGTGTGCTCACCTTGAGCAAAAGTAGCTCAGGGATAACACTTAGGCCCAGAGTTCAAGTCCTAGGACTGGAAAAAGAAATAAATAACATAACACACACACATATATATATATATATATATATTTATATATTTCCTCTTCATTCTCTTAGCCATTTTAGCAATTGTAGGGCTGGGAGTGTATCTCAATGGTAGAGATTTGAGTTCAATCTGAAGTACCAAAAGGAAAAAATGAATTGCCTAATAACTAATATAAACACATAAAGATGTATTTATATATGTGTATATTTACATTAGTATCCCTCTAAAATAAATATACTTGACAATCACAACACAAAAAGAAAAATGGAAATGGGCTGTTTGGGGGTAAGAAAATGAGATTGTGTAACAACTTGGATTCATAGGAAGAAATGAAGAGCAGGAGAAATGGTAATTTTAAAACTTATAATAACAAATTATAATTTATACTTCCTTTCTTCAGTTTCTTCAAAAGATGTAGAATCCTATAGAGTGAAATGATAAGATATACTGATGTTTTAAAAAGATCTATTGATGTTTGAAATATATACATATATAAATGCAATATGTATAATAGAATAGAACAAAAAGAGGAAGAAGACACTGGAATGACATTTTATTTTTTCCCTTTTTTTTTGGTACTGAATCATACCTCCAGCCCTTTTTTGCACTAGTTATTTTTGAGAGAGGGTCTAATTTCCTGTCTAGGCAGACTGTTGGACTGTGATCCACAAATGTTATGCTTCCCATCATAGCTGGATGACAGGTATACATCGCTACACCTAACTAGTGTCATCTCATGGACTTTTCTACCCAAACTGACCTTGAATGGCCTCAACTGTGATCCTCCTGCTCTCAGCCTTCCACATAGCTGAGGTTACAGATGTGAAGGAATTTGTAATCAGATGTGAATGCATACAAATTAAGATCTCTATGGTAAACTCTAGAACATTCACTAAGAAAATAACTAAAAATACTTTGTAAAATTTATTAAAAGAACTAAAATATTACATTAGAAACATTAACTTAATACCAAAAAAGGAGGGCAATCAAACAAAAAGTTTGACATATAGAAACAAAAAAACCATAAAATGACAGAAGAACATATAGGAAAAACATTAAATCTGCCTAGATTAAATATAATATAAGAAATGGAAGAAATTGTCACAGTTAAAGCATGGCTATACTCCGTTGCAGGAAATAGACATTAGATCCAATGACAATAGATTGAATGAAAAGGGATGGAAAAGGCTGTAACATTAGAGACTTCAACATCCTGTTGTAAATAATAGCTAGAACAACTAGGTAGAAAATCATCCAAGACATAGGATGTTTAAACAGCACTATAAACAAACTAGGCCAAACAAACATCCATACACTATGCCATCAACCTAAATCCTATGAATACCAAAATGAAAAGATGCCCACAAAAAAACATGTACTTGACTGTTTATCATAGCCTTATTCATAACTGAAAATTGGAACCTGTCAATGCCCATCAATGGATAAATGGATGAACAAAATTTGACATATGTATATAATAAAATGTTTTCAACTTTAAAAAGGCATGAAATATTGATACATACTATACTATGGAAAGCCTTGGAAACATTTGAAGTTTTCTAAAAGAAGCCAGTCAGAAAAGACTATGAATTATATGACATTTATATAAAGTACTTAGAATAGACAAAACTATAGAAAATATATTTGGGATGGTGGCAGGGATAAGGAATAAGTGCCAGTAGGGAAGGAGTTTTTGTAGGATGATTATGTTCAAAAGACATATTATATTTATAGTTGCATATGTATGAATATTCTAAAAAGCATTAAAGAGTACATGTAAATGGGTAAATTTAAGATGGCAGTGAGGCTTAATGGAACCATATTCATATAGCATGCATGAGGCCTTGGTTTCATTTTTAGTATTATTAAAAATAAAAACAATGAGTGAACTATAATGCCCACAAATTATACCTCAAAAAGTGTGTTAAAAATCAAGGTAGGGGGGCTGGGAAGGTGGCTCAGTCGTAGACTGCTTGCCTCACATGCATGAGGCCTTGGGCTTGATTCCTTAGCACCACATATGCAAAAAAAAGCTGAAACTGGTGCTGTGGCTCAAGTGGTAGGGCTCTGGCCTTGAGCTAAAGAGCTAAGGGACAGCGCCCAGGCCCAGAGTTCAGCCCCTCCCCTCCACCAATTAAAAAAAAATCAAGGGCTGGGAAGGTGGCTCAGGGGTAGAGCACTTGCTTTGAATGTATGAGGCCCTGGGTTCGATTCCTCAGCACCACATAAGCAAAAAGAAAAAAAAAGCCGGAAGTGGTGCTGTGGCTCAAGTGGTAGAGTGCTAGCCTTGAGCTGAAGAGCTGAGGGACAGCACCCAGGCCCAGAGTTCAGGCCCATGACCGGACCCAAAAAAAAAAAATCAAGGTAGGGTTGGAGGCATGGCTCAGTTGGTAGACAGCTAGCCAATGAGCAAAAGTTTGAATCCTAATCTCAGATAAAGAAAAAAAATCAAGGAAAAGGATCAGGAAACATTTTGTGTAAAATATCAGTAAATATTTTAGGCTTTTCTAAGCACTTATACTTGTTTTTATGTTTCTTTTTTTTAATTTTCACTCACAATCCTTTAAAAAAGTAAAAAAAAAATCTTTCTTAGTGTATAGGCTGTGCAGAACCAGTTGGTTGTTTACCCAGCCCTCTTCTAGAGAAAAAAGATGTGAATATTGACAAATTGCAGTCATGTTTTTATGTTTTTTTCACTTCCCCTTAACTCATACTGAGAAAAATCGAGGCAATGGTGATAAGACTATACAGTCTATCTGTATTCCTTTGTCATCTAATTTGGAAACACTTGAAGCTATGAGTGTTTAGAGAACAGAGTACAGCTGTATACAATACACTTCAAAAATAGCCTGAAACTGAGCATGATAGTATGTGCCTGTCATTACTGGAAAGTTGGGACAGGTTAATCATGAGTTTGGGCCATGCTGGTCTACAAAGATGAATTTGAGGACAACTTGAGCTACACTGGAGACTAAAAATACATACATACATACATACATAAACAAACATATAGAGGAAGTGTGGTGGTGAGCACCTGTAGTCCCAGCACTCAAAAAGCTGAAGCAGTAGGATTTGGAGTTCACGTCCAGTCTGGGCTACATAGTGATACAGTGTCTCAAAACAACAAAACAGACAAACTGACATAGAATAAAAGAGAACAGTTATCCAGGTGTCAGTGGCTTATGACAAACTGGAGATGTGGCTCAAGTTGTACAGCACCAGCAATGAATAAAAAAAAGCTTAAAAATAGCAAGAGTGCAAGGCTCTGAGTTCAAGATCCAATACTGGTACACACACACACACACTCACATATATACACACACACACGTGTGTTAGAAACAAAATAAATAAGAACTATGTTTAAGAGTTGTGATGTTTTCTTTGTGTCAATTTGATCTTTATTCACTGAGATACAGTTTAAGAAATCCAGGACCATCAGCTGAAAAGAAACAACTTATTTTTTGTCGGTAATGGGGCTTGAACTCTGGGCCTGAGCACTGTCCCTCAGCTCTTCAGCTCAAGGCTAGCACTCTACCACTTGAGCTACAGCACCACTTCCAGTGTTCTGGTAGTTTATTGGAGATAAGTGTTTCATGGACTTTCCTGCCTGGGCTGGCTTTGAACCATGATCCTCACATCTCAGCTAGGATTACAGGAGTGAGCCACCGGCGCCCGGCAGGAACAACTTTTTAAAAGGTAAAAGCACTATAGAAGAGCTGGATGTTACTAGTATTTTTAGTGAATAAAAATGCCTATTAAGAAATTAATTTCATTTCCTATGTTAAGAAACAGACTTGTTTTCTGTTTGCTATGTTTTTCTCTTGGGCCTGGTGGCTTTATACATGTAATTGTGGCTATTTCAAAGGCTAAGATCAAAGATCACAGGCCCAAGCTAGCCTGGGAAAAAAGGTTGTGATACTTCATCTCAGTGAAAGAAGATTGCACACCAGTCTTTGCAGCTATGGCAGGAAGCACAAATTTGTAGTATCACAGTCCAGGCATAGGCTCAGTCAAAAAAGTGAGATCTTATATCAAAATGACCACTACACAAGAAAGGGGCTGGAGATGTGACTCTAGCTGTAGAGCACCTTCCTATCAAGCATGAGTTCATATTTCTAGTACCACCATCAAGGGATGGAGGGAGAGAAAAAGAGGGAACCAGATTCAGGCAAAGGTAAGTGATTCAGGATTGTTTTTTATTTTTTATTTTTATTTTTTCTGGTTGTGGGGCCTGAACTCTGGGCCTGGGCACTGTCCCTCAGCTCTTCAGCTCAAGGCTAGCACTCTACCACTTGAGCCACAGCGCCACTTCCGGCTTTTTTCTTATGTGGTGCTGAGGAATCGAACCCAGCGCCTCGAGCATGCAAGGCAAGTGCACTACCACTGAGCCACCTTCCCAGCCCAGGATTGTTTTTTAAAATGAGTCAATGAAGCTGGGTATAAGTGGCTCACACTGGTAATCCTAGCTACTCAGGAGGCTAAGATCTGAGGATCATGGTTCAAGGACTGTGAGACTCATCTTTAATTAATCACCAAAAAACCCCAGATCTGGTGCTGTGCCTCAAGTGGTAGAGTGCCAGTCTTGAGCAAAATAACTCAAGACACGATCCAAGTTCTAACTTCAAACCCCAGGACTGACAATCAGTAAGTAAAAACAAACAAGGGAAATAATTTCAAATGATTATCAAAGCTTTATAAATAGATGAATTCTTCCATAGAAAAATACATGAAAGGAAACATTAAGTGGAGGATAGACTTCTATGGGCCACATGTAGTTACAGGAAGACAATGAAGTAAAGGATTTTAAGGAAATGATAAAAAAAAAAGTGGTCCGTGAAAAGGAACACATTTTAGAAGAAGGCATATTTAATCTTAAAGGAAGAAGCTAAGTCAATATAACCTTTACTTGTTAGAAGGGAATTAGCCATTGCAAACCTTTGAAATCAAGATGTTGTCAGAATCGTGGAAAGGGTTCTCTGAAGTCAACAAAAACTGTATCAGGGAAAGTAAACACCAGTAGCACTTAACTCTCATCTTTTCATTGAAGGTTGCACATTACCTCTTCAATAGTTGTTACAGCTTTTCTTCCTTGTGCAAGATCAATTGAAGTTGCCAAAAGCAAACATGTACTCTTTGCAATCAGAATTACTTTATCAGAAGGACAAAGCAGGGACAGCTGATGAGAAATAACCAGAGCATCAATGAATAGTGAAAATTATGTCAGGTGAACACAATCAGAATGAAAATCAGCAACATCCTGTCTGACAGAAAAGTCAGCTGGAAAAGCACATGACACCCTAAAAATGAAACAGACTGTAACCCTGATTTACAGTTTTAATTTTACATTGCTTTCTATTGTTTTTAGCACCTTCCTAGAGATAAAAAAGCTTCATTTCTTCACTTTGCATATCTTTCTCAGTGACAAGTGCTGTCATTTGCTCCTGTATTTCTAGCTAGTGATTCACTTCTCAATTTATGCTACAAATTGTAAGTGATTTTCCCCTGGCAAATACGTTCCTCACTGGATTGAATGGAACTGAAATTAGTACATATATTGTCCTTGTTGAAGGAGACAATGTCAAATCAGGACAAGCATTACAGATAACTTCAGCATTAAACCTTGCTCTTCACTTAAAAAAAAAAAAACCAAAAACCTCTCAGGTTTGGGCTACAATAAAACTCCAGGCCGTTTTGATTCTACATGCCAATCTCACAAGAATTCTCACAAATAGCAAGACTAAGACTGATTTACCCACCTTATTAAGATGGTGATTATACTTGAAGTTGCTGAGACTCTTAATTTACTCCCCTCATATTTAATAACCACAATCACGACCATCACTGAATTAATAGCATCTCAAGACATCCAGTGTTTTAAATCTCAGGCTATTCTTAGGTAAGATTAAAGAACTGTGCTACATAATCTCTCCAATTCTTTCCAACTCTAAAATTCTAAACACTTGATGACCTCAATCTATAAGATTATACATTTCTAAATATGCAGTAGGAATATTCTCTAGCCCTTCTCTTTTATTCCTTCATTAATACCCAATTCTCTTTTTGGCATTTAATCTCTAGGCTAATAACCACTTTTAGATGCTTATAATTGTATCCAGGTATCAGTAGATCAATTTGTAATCATAGCTACTTGAGAGACTGAGAATGGGAAAGTCACAGTTTGAGGACAGCTACAGCAGAAAAGTGCAAGAGACCTTTTCTCAACTCATAGCTGAGCACAGTGGTACACATCTGTCATCCTAGACTATGTGGAAAGCTGAGATTGAGCGGATTGTGGCTCCAGGCAGCCTGGGAAAAAATTCCATGAGACTCCACATCTCAATGGAGGGAAGCTGGACATGGTGGCAAGAATCTATCATCTCAGAAACTACACAAAGCATAAAATATGTGAATCATAGTACAGCCACATGCTAGGGACAGAAAGCAAGACCCTACCTCAAAAATTATTAATGAGCCAGTAGCTCATGCCTGTAATCCTAGCTACTCACGAGGCTGAGGTGTGAAGATCGCAGTTCAAAGCCAATTCAGGCAGGAAAGCCCATGAGACTCTTATCTCGAACTAACCACCAGAAAACCGGAAGTAGTGCTGTGGCTCAAGTGGTAGAGCACTCACCTTGAACTGAAGAGCGCAGGGACACTGCTCAAGCCCAGAATTCAAGCCCCACGAATGACAAAAAAAACAACAACAACAACTAATGAAAAATAGGACTGGATGTGTGGCTTAGTGATAAAACACCTTCCTAGCAAGTCCCATAATGGGAAAAATGCTTTTAATTCAAACGAATTTGCAAATATTCACACAACACTCTTTTTAAGAAAATATGAGCAAGAGGAAGATGGCAGAGGAGAAGCTGGAGGCTAAACAACTCTTGCATAGAAACCAGTTTTATTGTTCTGGTGAAAAGTCCAAGACTAGAAAGTCACACCAAGTGTGCCATCATACTAAAGAGAGTTTGGCCAGAGAGGGAAAATTCAGGCAGCTTAGTTAGACAGATTCGAGCACTCGTGGGTGTCCACAGCAGCAGTGGTGGCTGCTGCCTTGGCCACCGTATCAACAGAGAGAGCCTGGGACAAAGGCGCCAGATGCAGTGTGCAAGCAGATTCTACTCACAGCAAGAACTGAGAAGGAGCAGAAATCTTCATCCTGCTGACCACAGACAGTTGTAGATTGTGGACGGCCCAGAAACCAAGGGAAAGGCGTGAGTACCCCACAAAAAATTTATTTAAGAGGATGCTAGCAGAGAACTCCCCAAACATGTAAAAAGATAGGCCCATTCAGATACATGAAGTCTTTAGATCCCCAAATAGTCCAGACAAGAACAGGACATCCCACAGTCACATTGTAATCTGCACAGGATCAATTGAGACCAAGTAAAGGATCCTTAAAGCTCTTAGGGAGAAAAGATCAATCACCTATGAAGGGAAACCAATCAAAATAACTTCAGATTTCTCAGAAGAGACCTTGAAAGCAAGAAGGGCCTGGAATGATGTATGCCACACCCTAAAGACAAACAGCTATCAACCAAGAATACTGTACCCTTCATAATGAAGGACAAATAAAAACTTTCCACAGCAAAGAAAAATTGAAACAATATATCTTCACCAAAGCAGCCCTACAAAAGATACTTAAAGATGTCCTACACATAGAAAACCAACAAGAGCACGATAAAGGCCAAGAAACAGCCCCCAAACAGAGAAGCCAATAATCATAGGAAGAACCCAGTTGTCAAACCCCCAAGAAGGTAGATAACATGGCAGGAACTACCAAATACCTCTCAGTCCTAACTCTCAATATTAATGGACGTAACTCTCCAATTAAGTGACATAGATTGTTTAGCTGGATCAAAAAGCAAGATCCTTAAAAAAAAAAAAAGCAAGATCCTTCTATCTGCTGCCTTCAAGAGACACATCTTGCCCACAAAAACAAACATATTCTCAAAGTGAAAGGCTGTAATAAAATCTACCAAGCAAATGGCCCACATAAACAAGTGGGAGATGCAATCTTAATATCAGATAAAGTAGACCTCAAATTATAATTAACTAGAAGAGATAAAGCAGGTCATTACATACTAATTAAGGGATCTTGTCTTCAGGAGGATATTAAACTCTATTTATTCACCAAATATTGGAGCACCCAAATTTATCCAAGTAACACTACTTTCCCTAAAATCTCACATAGATCCAAAGACATTAATTGTTGGGGATTTTAATATACCACTATCCCCGCTGGCTAGATCAACCTGGCAAAAACCTAACAGAAATCTTGGATCTAGATCAACTAAACTTAACAGACATCTACCGAATATTTCACCCAGCAGCATCAGAATACACATTCTCAGCACCACACGGAACATTCTCTAAAATAGACCACATTTTAGGTCACAAAGCATATTTTTCCAAATTCAGAAACACTGAAATTATGCCCTGTTTTCTCTCAGACCACAAAGGAATAAAATTATAATTCAACACCAAAAGCCTCCAAAGATAATCCTGTAACATATGGAGGCTGAACAACACACTGTTGAACCACCAGTGGGTCATGGAAAAGATTAGAAAGGAAATTCAAATGTTCATGATATTCAACAAAAATGAACACACAAATTACCTCCTCTGGGGCACAGCAAAGGCAGTACTCAGAGGCAAATTTATAGCTCTGAGTTCCTACATCAACAAATTGTAGAGATCTGAAACCAACAATTTAACGAGGCACCTGAAGCTCCTTGAAAAAGAGCAACAAGCTAAACCCAAGTCCAATAGATGGAAACAAATAGTTAAAATTAAATCAGAATTAAATGAATCACAGTCCAAAAAATAGAAAATATCCACAAAACAGTTGGTTCTTTGAAAAAAAAATAACAACATTGACAGACCCTTAGCAAATCTTATCAGCAAAAGAAGAAAACACACCCAATTAAACATACTCAGAGATGAGAACGGAAACATCACCACAGAAAAACCAATACTCAATACATTATAAGGGAATACTTCTCAAACCTTTATGCTAATAAGTTTAAGAATCTGGAAGAAATGGAAGAATTCCTAGCAAATATTGACAAGATGACTTAAATCAACTTAACACACCCATATCAAGTTGAAATAGAAACAGCAACCAAGAAAAGCCCAGGACTGGATAGATTTACACCTGAATTCTACAAGGTCTTCAAAGCAGAATTCACACCAATATTCCTCTAACTCTTCAATGAAATTGAAAGTGAAAGTTCATTATCAAACTCCTTCTATGAAGCCACTCTCGTCCCCAAACCAGGCAGGAACTTATCAAAGAACATCGATGTAAAACTTTTCAACAGAATTTTGGCCAACCAACATCAACAACTCATCAAAAAAATCATACACCATGATCAAACAGGATTCATTTCAAGCATGCAAAGCTGGTTCAACATATGCAAATCAATTAATATAATTCATCACATCGACAAGTGTTAGGAAAAGAACCACATGATTCTCTTAACAGATGCAAAAAAAGCATTTGACAAGATCCAACACCCCTTTATGATGAAAGCTCTGGCAAAACTAGGAATCCAGGGAACATTCCTCAATATAATAAAGGCTGTGTATGACAAACCTACAGCCAGCATTATACTTAATGACGAAAAGCTAAAGCCATTTCCTCTAAATTCAGGAATGATACAAGGATGTCCACTTCTCTGCAATTTAGTATTAGAATGCTTAGCTAGAGCTATAAGACAAGATGCAAACATCAAGGGGATAAAAATAAGGAAAGATGAAGTAAAACTCTCCTTTGCAGATGACATGATCTTATATTTAAAGAACCCCATGTACTCTACTCCCAAGATAATTGAGCTTATTCAAACCTTGGGCAAAGAAGTAGGGTATAGAATTAACCCTCAAAAAATCAGTGGCTTTTCTGTATGCCAATAATGAGAAGAGCATGGCTGAAATCAGGAAAGCAATTCTTTTTGTAATAACCCCACAAAAAAAATACCCAGGAGTTGACTTAAAGAACTGAAGAACCTCTATGATGAAAACTTTAAAAACCTGAAAAAGGAAATTAAAGCAGAACTAAGGAAGTGGAAAAACTTCCCATGCTTTTGGATTGGGAGGTTTAACATCATGAAAATGGCAACGCTGCCAAAACACTATCTACAAAATAAAAGTTATACCTATCAATATTCCAACCTCATTCTTCAATGAAATAAAAGAAGCAACCCAAAAATTTATATGAGACAGTAGAAGACCCCAAATAGCAAAAACAATCCTTAGCAGAAAGAACAGTGCTAGAGGAATATCAATACCAAATTTCAAACTCTACTACAAAGCCATAGTAATCAAAACAGCTTGGTACTGGCACAAAACAGACCTGAGGACCAATGGAATAGACTTGAAAACCCAGAAATGAACCTACAGACCTATAGCCACCTAATCTTCAACAAGGGAGCTAAGAAAAGTAGAATGGAAGAAAGGCATCCTCTTTAGTAAATGGTGCTGGCCAAATTGCTTAATCACTTGTAGAAAACTAAAGCTAGATCCTTATATATCACCCTGCACCAGATTCAACTCCAAATGGATCAAAGACCTCTTAGTCAAAAGAGACACCCTGAAAACATTACAGGAAGGAATAGGAGAAACTCTAGGGCTCCTTGGAACAGGCTGAAATTTTCTTAATAAAGACCCAGAAACACAACAAATCAAAGAAAGTTTGGACAAATGGGATTGCATGAAGTTGCAGAACTTCTGCATGGCAAAAGACATAGCTAGCAAGATCAATAGAAAGCCCACATATTGGGAGAAGATCTTCATTAGCCATACAACAGACAAGGGCTTCATATCTAAAATATACTTAGAACTAAAAAATTAAAACCCCTAACAACAAATCCTCAAAGAAACAATCACCCCATTACTAAATGGGCTAAAGTCTTAAAGAGAGGCTTCTCTGAAGAGGAAAGAAGGATGGCGAATAGACACATGAAGAAATGCTCAACTTCTCTAGCCATAAAAGAAATGCAAATCGAAACAACATTGAGATACCACCTCACCCCAGTTAGAATGGCTATAATCAACAACTCTAATAACAACAGATGCTGGAGAGGGTGTGGCTGAAAGGAAACCCTACTGCATTGTTGGTGGGAGTGTAAACTTGTTCAACGACGTTGGAAAGTAGTGTGGAGGTTCCTCAAAAGACTCCACATAGAGCTCCCCTATGATCCAGCAATCCCACTTTTAGGCATTTATCCAAATGATCACAAGGTCATACTAAAGCTACCAGCACACCTATGTTTATTGCAGTATTATTTACTATAGCTAAGATATGGAACCAACCCTGATGCCCCTTGGTAGATGAATGGCTCAAGAAAATGTGGTATATATACACAATGAAATTCCATGCCTCCACCAGAGAGAACGACACTGCCACATTTGTTAGGAAATGGAAAGACCTGGAAGAATTATATTAAGTGAAGTAAGCCAGGCCCAAATGAACATAGGTCCCATGGGTTTCCCTTATTTGCAATAACTAGTGTATGTCTAGGACAAGCAGAAAAGATCAAAAGGTATGTGCATATGACCATATAAGATGATGCTAAGTGAAATGAGCCCTAAGATAAGGACACAAGAGGTTTTATCTTTCTTTCTGTTGTTTTTAATGTACACATAATGTACTATGTCATTTTTTGTTTCTTTTGTATGTTCTTCCCCCATGGTATAACCCCTGTTTTCACTGTATTTGATTCCAGTGCCCTGTACCTTGTATATACACTTTTCTAATTTGTAGAGGAAAGGGATATAAGAAAAATTTTAAATAAGGATACAGGCTGATCCATTGTAACAATGAGATGTACAAGACACTATGTTGAAAACTAACTTTATAACTTCAGGGCGGGGGGGAAGGAGTTGGAGAAGTGAGGAGGGAAGGGATAGTAGGGGAAAAACAAAGTAAGGGGTAACATTGTTCAATAGGAAATGTATTCATTACCTTACTCATGTAACTGTAACCCCTCTGTATCTTTACAATAAAAATATGTTTAAAAATATGAAAAATCTTGAACTTCTTAGCTCCTTTTTCATCCCCTGCCTGCTATGTCCAGATACTTATTCTATAATTCTATAGACTTATTTGCATAGGCCTTCCTAATGTTGGTAACTTGCAACTCCTTGGCATATTCCTACCCAGTATAAGGCATTGCCTGAAATCCTTACAAACCTAAAGGAGTGACTTTATAATGGTAGCCCTTTAGGCTCCAGGTGGGTGTTTGTGATATGTGATTTGTCTAACATCCTTTTTTTTGTGCCAGTTCTGGGGCTTGAACTCAAGGCCTGGGTACTATCCCTGAGATGTTTTGCTCAAGGCTAGTGCTCTACCACTTGAGCCACAGTTCCACTTCTGGCTTTTTGGTGTTGAATTGGACATAAGAGTCTCACAGATTTTCCTTTCCAGACTGTCTTTGAGCCATGATCCTCAGACCTTAGCTTGCTGGGTAGCTAGGATTACAAGAATGAGCCACCAGTTCCTAGCTCAACATTCTTATATTATGTTCTTTAGCAAAGAGATTGTCTTTGGTCATTTCTGCTTAGACACACATCACAAATTCCTAGATTAAAAGTCAATCTAAATCTATACTTAGCTGTTTACTGTAACAGTAGTAGTTAGAACCTTGCTGTGTCCATATATGAAGTACTTATTAGAAAATACTTACATTATAAGAAGCCATTAAAAACTCTCTCATTATCATTGGTTCTTTCTGAGACTGTGCTGCCAAGTTCCAAGCTGCAAGTTAACACAAAATGAGAAAATTATGAACATCTACTATCTAGTTGCTATCATTGTAATCTCTAGGTAATGTATTACTAAAGGAACTCTTAGTGATTAAGAAATTAACTATAGGTGTGTAGAGAAATTTATTTTCAGGTAATTTTACCAATTCCTGTCACTTGCAATCCTCCACTATAGGCCAAGTATAGTGAAGGCAGTGTTGATTTTGATTTTTTTTAACTAGGGACATAAAAAAATAATTTTGACCTTTAGCAAGGGTTTATTTTAGTATAACAGGTTAATGGAGGGAGGGGGGAAGGAGAGAGGGAGAGAGAGAGAGAGAGACCCATACTCTTTCTTAAGAATAGCATGGCTCAAGTTCCATTAAAAAAGGTGGGTTTCTTTTGTTTTGGTGTGTGTGTGTGTGTGTGTGTGTGTGTGTGTGTTTATGCTGATAATGGGGCTTGAACCCAGGGCCTGGGTGCTGTCCCTTAGCTTTTACATTAAGTCTGGCACTCTACCACTTGAGCCATAGCTCCACTTCTGGCTTTTTTTCTGGTTAATTGGAGGTGAGTAAGATATGCCTGACCTGGCTACGAACTGCAATCCTCAGATCTCAGTCTCCTGAGTAGCTAGGATTATAGATGTGAGCCATGTGTATCCAGCTCTATTACTGTTCTTTTAAATTTTTTATTCTAGGGCTGGGAAGGTGGCTCAGTGGTAGAGCGCTCACCTTGCTTGCCTGAGGCCCTGGGTTCGATTCCTCAACACCACATAAGCAAAAAGAAAAAAGCCGGAAGTGGCACTGTGGCTCAAGTGGTAGAGCGCTAGCCTTGAGCTGAAGAGCTGAGGGACAGCGCCCAGGCCCAGAGTTCAGGCCCCATGACTGGACCCAAAAAATATAAATAAATTTTTTATTCTATTGTAAAGATGCTGTACAGAGTGGTTACAGTTACATGGATAAGGTAATAAGTACATTTCTTGTCAAGCATTGTTACCCACTCTATTACTGTTCTTTATATCACCCTTTTCCCTTACCATATCCCAATGTTCCACTTTTTATTGGATATACTGCCCCCTCCTTGGTTCCATATATGCAATACTCATCTTGCTGAGACTGGCTTATTTTGTCTAACATGGGAACCTCTAATTCCAGGCATTTTCTTGAAAATATCAAACTGTATTCTTTCTGGTTAAAATCTCAATGTGTATATGTAATTCATTTTGATTACCCATTCATCCATTGATATCTAAGCTGATTCCATAACTTGGATTACTATTACTATTGTACTATTTGGGATAGTACAATAATAAACATGAGTATGCAGTTATCTCTGTGGTTAGCTGATGCTGATTCTTTTGGGTACATAGAAGTGATCCAGTTGGGTCATAGGAAGATCTATTTTTAGTTTTCTGGAGAACCTCCATAGTGCTCTCCAATGTTATTGGGCTAATTTACATCCCAAGCAGTAGTGTATAAGAGCTCCTTTTATTTTATTTTAATTTTGTATATGTGTTTTGGGCATGGGAGTGTATACCTATAGCTTCATCCACTTGGAAGGCAAAGATCCGAAGGACTATACTTTGTCTTAACCCAAGCCAAAAGATAGGGAGGTCCTATCTCATCAAATAAGCTCGGCCTAGGGGTATGAATCTATGATCTCAGCTCTTCTGGAAGCATAACTAGAAGGACCTGTGTCCAAGTCCAACACAGGGCAAAAATGTGTCACCTTATCTGAAAAATAAAGCAAATATGACAGGGAGCCATGGCTTCAGTAGTAGAACACCTACTGGGCAAGCACATAGACCTGAGTTCAAATCCCAGCATTGCCCAACAAAGAGTTCTTTTTTTCTGTATCCTCATCACAATTTGTTATTTGTTTTGTTGATGACAGACATTCTCATGAGGGTGAGATGGAATGTCAATGTGCATTTTCCTGATGGCTATAGATGTTAGACTTTTTTTCATGTAATTATTGGCCATTTGTGTTTTTCCATTTGAAAAGTCTTCAGTTCATTTGATCACTGTTGTTTGGGTTATTTGCCCTTTTGTTGTTTCAATTTTTTAATTCTTTATATATTCTGGATATATAACTCCCTGCCAAATGAATATCTGAAAAAAGATTTTTTCCTATTCTATATTGTATCATCATTCTCTTAACTGTTTCTTTTGCTGTGCAGAAGTATTTGAATGTAATCTCATTGTATTTCTTGCTCTCATTTCCTGAGCTTCTGGAGTCCTATTCAAAAATTGTCACTACAAATGTATCTTAAAGTGTTTTCCCCTATCATTTCTCCTAGTAATTTCAAAGTTCAAGATCTTACATTGAGGTCTTTGATCCATTTTGAGTTGATTTTATATTGGTTTTGTTTGTCTTTTACATGTGGATATCTACTTTCCCAAGTATCACTTACTAAAAGAGGCTTTTTTCCCCAATGTATGTTTCTGCAACTCTGTGAAGAGTCAGATTGTTATACCTAAGTGGGTTTGTTTCCAGATCCTTTATTCTATTGATCTGTTCATTTTTGTGTCAGTACTATGCTATTTTTGCTACTAAGGCTCTGTACCATAGTCATAGTTTGAAGCCAGGTATTATGATACAGAATATGTTTCTGCTCAGAAGTGCATCAGCTATTTGGGGTTTTCATAAGAATTTTAGAATTGTTTTTGTCTATTACTGTGAAGATTGCAAGTGGTTGCTTTTTGGGGGGTAGGGGAGATGATGCCTATTCATTTGATTACTTATTAATTGGATGATGTGTTCTTTTGGTGTTTAATTTTTTGAGCTCTTCATATATTCTAGATAATAATCTTTTATCTGATGATGGGAATGTTAAACAGGAAACTGGAAGTAGTAACCAGCAAGAGGGCAAAAGGAGAAAGTTAATGAGGGGTTATATGGTCAAAACTCTTAATACACATATTTTTTATAAGTAAAAAAACTAAAATTGCTTAAAAAGGGAGAGAGGTTAAGGAGGAGTAATTGAGGGTGTGCATTTGATGAAAATATATACATGTAACAAAATATCACAATGATACCTCTTTACAAAATTAACATATAGAAACAAAAGAGAGACAATCTTACATCCATTTTATTTGTGTGTGTGTGTATGTGTGTGTGTGTGCGCGCGTGCGTGCACGCGCACCAGTCCTGGGACTTGAATTGGGGGTCTGGGGTTGTCTTTGAGATTTTTTTGCTCAAGGCTTGAGCCATAGCTCCACTTCCAGTTTTTTGTTTCTTGAGTTTTTGTAGCTAATAGGAGATAAAGAGTCTCACAGACTTTTCTGTATAAGCTAGCTTTGAACCACAATACTCAGATCTCAGCCTCCGGAGTAGCTAGGATTATATGTGTGAGCTACCAGTGTCTGTTGAATTAATTTTTGTACAGGATCAGAAACAGAGTCCACTTTCAGTCCTATACATGTGGACTTCAAATTTTCCCAGTACAAATTAGTTGAAGAGACTATCTTTTTTCCAGCATATATTTTTGGTACCTTTGATAAAAATCATGACTTTAGATGTGTTTTATTTCTGGTTCTTTCATTCTATTCCCTTAATGTATATGTCTGCTGTTGTGCCAGTGCCATGTTGCTTTTGTTTCTATTTTTCTGTAATATGATTTTTAAGTTTGGTGTTGTGATACCTCCAGTATGTTTTTATTTTTAGTGTTACTTTTGCTATTTGGTGCCTTACATGTTTTTGTATGTTAATTTTAGGATTAATTTTTGTATTTCTATTAAGAATGAAACTGACACTGTGTGTGTGTGTGTGTGTGTGTGTGTGTGTGTGTGCATGCGCACGCGCACATGTGTATGTGTGCGTCTGCTGGCACTGCATCTTGAACTCAGGGCATGGGTGCTATCCATTAGCTGTTTTGCTCAAGAGTGTTACTCTACCATTTGAACTACACCTCCACCTAATGTCTTTTTGCTCATTGAGATGTCTAACAGATTTTTCCTACCTGTACTAGTGTCCAACTGTGATCTTCAGATCTTAGCCTCTTGAGTAGCCCAGATTATAGGCATGAGTCACTGGTATCCAGCAGGATTTCATTTTTTGGTTTACAGCTGGAGGGGTTCTGTGATGAGGTGTTTGTGTGGTCTCATCAGTTGTTAATTTTCTCACTGCAGTGCATCTTGATCCTTCAACATTTTCACTACTCTTTGACCTATCCCTTCTCTTGCTTTTTAAATTATGTGGTATATACAATGAATTATTGACTATTCCCCTTACCACATTGTTATTTGTCTACCCCTCTCTCCTTGCTCTATCTCTTGCAAGTACCTGTTTTCCCCAATGGACAAAGAGATCAAGAAGATGTAGTATATATACACAATGTAATTTTACTCATCCTTCAGAAACAATGATACAGCCAGAGAAACAAAGGTTGTATGATTTCCCTCATTTATGGTAAATAGAATGTACCTACAAATCTATAAGTAAATACACTGTGTGGTATGCAAGCAGTTGCAAGTGAATTAATAGAAGTATAATAGACTGTATGGATAGTCCAAATAGTATAATTCTTTAGAAAGGCTAATTCTCTATAAGACTAAGTCTATGCTTTTCATGTGTATACTTTATTTTTTGCTATTAAAAAGGTGATGTACAGAGGGGTTTCAGTTATGTAAGTAGGTAATGAGTACATTTCATTTTGAACAGTGTCACCTCTTCCTCATTTTCTATGTTTTCCCTCCCATTTCCCCTCCCCCACAAGCTGTATAGTTCATATTCAACACAGTGTCTAGTGAGTATCACTGCTGCATTTATTCACCCTTTGTCCCACCATTTCTGTGTTCCCCCTTAAACTCCCCAAAGCAGATAAACTTACATGCAAGACAAAAGATACAGAAATAAAAAACAGCGACAAAGAAGGAAAAAACCCTCACAAATATAAAAACAGAATAACAAAAACCTCTTTCTTCCATTTCTTGGAGTTCATTTTGATAAACATCACATTATATGATCATATGTAAATAGCTATTGAGTCTTTGTGATCCTCTTCTAAGAATA